GGAGCAAAAATACAATACTTGAGCCAGATGGCTACGGATTACATGGCATGCGTATCATTCCATCTAATTACTATAATGCGACACAATCGTAGATCCTCTCTCACATACAATCTTGAAGATGTATTCATGCCGCATCTAGATGGTTGAATTCGCGCACGCCCAGTAAAACAATAGATTCATTCGGTGCCGCGACACGCCCCCCTCTCGGAAGCGTCGACATCCGAATCGCCCAAATCCCAGTCCTCTTCCTCCAACTTCAACATCTCAAACGCACTCTGTCCTAGGTCTGATACGTCCCAACATATGAGTACTTTCTCCGCTAAATCTTTAACTACTGTACCCCAGTGCTGTTGTAGCGATCCATCTTCATGCTTCAGCCTGCATCTTATTCTCATCCCAGCTCTATCAGGAAGCGGCATATCCTCATAATCCCTGCGTACTTCTAGAGGGCACAAATTGTAGTGGTTTTCTTCTGTCACGCGCTCACCTCGACTCGCCACGATACGTACTCGATACCGCCGTGTGCTAAGACACTGCACTACCCAACCCGTCCGCCAAAGCATATGATGCTTGCGACTTGGTTGATAAACCATCACTGGGTCGCCGACTCGAAATATGAAGTCCTTCCTCACTGAATCCGTTCGGCCCAATGATGCCAGAACCTTGCGTCGCTTTTCTGGCCAGAAATCATTCATAAATCGTCGAAGATTTGCTTCCTGTCGTCTTAACCACTTCTCTCCTGATTGACTTTCCCCAGATGGAACCTCATTATCCATCAGCGTAACTCCGCCGCCCTCCCTACGGATGTAGCCAAATCTTAGATCATCCGGAGTTAGAGCTTTGATATATCCCTGATCATCGATGTCCGCCGACGATAATGGTGTCCTGTTCAGTGTCCAAGATATTTCATCTGCTACCTCTTGCTTTAACGCTGCCATCGCTTCCGGTTTCCAATCCGATACCCTGTAAGTTCTCAAAATAATCCTAGCCACCCGTACCGCACTGCGGTGATGAGTCTCCGCTGCTGTCGTCCATGGTGCTCTAGGATTCGCCGATATGAATTTGATGTTCCATCCAGCTATCTCAGAGTCTCTCGCCACCGAGTCCCTCGCAATAGCATTATCGGCCACTATCACCGCGAAACCACCTTCCCGCCTCTGAGCCCGTCTGATAGCTGACGCAATACTTGATGACGTCTGGTCGGGTATGGCAATCCAGACCACACTGTACGTCATGAGGCACACCACCGACAGATAGAGAAGGCCAGATCCTAGGGTTATAGCGTCGACCGATACGGCATAGAATGGTTCCTTGCCGTTCTTCAACAAACTCAGCGGCGACAAATCGGAAATTCCCGCACCTGCGATTCCCGGCGAAATTCTCCACTCTCGCTTGGCGTTCTTCAGCTGACATGTAATACATACCGCTAGTACATCATTTGCCAGCCTCCGCAGAGATGGCGCAAAGAAGCCAAACTCTATAGCTCTCTCTACCGTGGCACTTCTGCTCGCGTGCCGGAGCTTCTTGTGGGCACTTCGCAACAGTAGACGCCTAAACGCATCCCGTTTTTTTGGTACATAATATGCCCAGCTGGTGCCCCCATGAACACTGCCGACCAAATATCGTCCTAGACCAGTATCGTCCAACCTTATGCATGCCAGCGACTTCACTGTCTTAGCGTCCATCGCTTCGACCCATCCTCTCTGGAGAGACCGAGCTAAGGATGCCTTGTCTGCTTCCTGATATGTGGCAGGGTACGTCATCGGTGGAGAAACTCCCGCCGTTGTTCCTCTCCAGTAAATGAAAGAAAATCGCAGTGCTTTCCACACATGCAACGCCGATTCGATATCATATGACGTCAGCGCTAGCTCCTCTGCTAGGCTTGAAGTCTCCTCATCAAGTCGATTTCTCGACGATACTTCGTCCGGTACATAGCACAACCGATCTTCCAAGGCCTCCGGATAGACTGGCGTGTCCCCTATCCGACAAATGATATCATCTATTACTGCAGCTATCTTCAGAGGTTCGTCGAGGTTCTCTTGTAACACACGACCTATCTGTATACCATTCGCACATTTGCGCTCGAGTAGACGAGATAAGTCGTCTGCTCGACTATTTTTTATTCCCTCTAAGTGGGTAGTCTCAACAGTAACATCACAACTATCTCTGATGAAGTTGATTTCTGCTTTGATAGCATCAGCGAGTCTAATGATCGATCTCAATTCCAGCGCCTTGCAAGGAGGATTATCATTGCACCAACGAATAGAAGCAAAATTGTCCCCTTTTATCGAAAGTCTACACGGGCCTTGTGTGCCAAGTTTGTTATGTGAGCCTCTCCAGTAATCCAGAAACCTAGCCGTTCTGCTCACCCCCTCAAACATCGCTCTCAACTCCCTCCTGTTCGAATGCCCCACTGCCTCTCTATTCGTCCATCTCCCTGCTGAGGCTAGAACCTCGAAACAACCCTTCTCCGGTCGAAATTCATCTAAGTCTTGCTCTCTATTGGCCCACAGACTGAACCCCCATCCTAGTAGAGATGAATCGGTCT